TTGAATCAATGATCTATGGGTAATATCATTCAATATACTGGTAAGCACCAAATGTTTCACGCAACTGACATTGATCTATAGAAAGAACGACAGGGCTCTATTACCACAAAACAAACATCGTCTCACTTCAAATGGGATGTCTGTGCAGTTTTAGGACCTAGTTCATTATGTTCTGTAACGCCACTGTGTTCATCCATTCTCATACTCGGCAAGGCTTCATTCCTGTGGACAAAATCAAAGTGTCGTGAAATTACCGTGGCACTCCCCAGATATTATCACATCTGTGCTGGCAGCGCGAGGGTCAGTTTAGACATCACGCCAGACAAAGGGCAGTGAAAGTGATAATGGTTTGGCAAGTATCTAATGTTGCTTCAGACTGAGTTGTCGAGATACTCGTTCCATTTAAAGGTTTTCTTCAATTACTACCAGGACAACTTCTGCAGGTTATTTATTTTTGGAACCCTCCTATTAAATATTAGGATTGATGGCTCAGAAACAGTTGGAAATGAGTCAGAAGTAGAAATGTTGTTATATTTCTGTTCACATTGCTGTGCAACTGATTTTTTCACTCCATAAACTGCAAGCTTTAACATACAGCTCTTTCAACCAAGTCAGTGAGCCTTACCACCCAATCCAATTTGTCGCCTCTTAAGACAAGCATAGTCGCCTCTTGCGGCAAGCATGGGTTCCTGAAGACCTATTCTACCCCGGATCTTCTCGGGTCCTACACACAACTGTAACATGGGGGTATGACAGTAGTTGCACTGAGCTGTTTTTGTGGGGCAGGGGCCTGAAGTATCCATACATTGCTGATGCCATCATCAGTGATTACTCCTGGGGCCTGTGGTCATCAGAACATGAAGTAAAGTAAATCCTGGTTACTTATCTTGACTCAAGCTACACCAGAAACACAGCATGCGCTTGTTTCATCACCTCATCTTATCCTTTCCTGAGAATCCTTTTAAAAACATGTTAGACCCGTGAAGATTCCGGGGTAGAATAGGTCTTCAGCAACCCATACTTGCCGTAAAAGGCGACTATGCTTGTCATAAAAGGCGACTAACAGGATCCAGTGGTCAGGCTCACTGACTTGGTTGATGCATGTCATCGATCCCAACTGCGGGGGTCGATGCTCATGACATCAATCACTGGATTGTCTGGTCCAGACTCGATTAAATTACAGACCGCTGTCAAATAGCTCGAATATTGCTGAGTGCGGCGTTAACAAACAAACAAACAAACAAACACATGTTAATCCGGACAGAGCAGTTTAAGGTGAAAACATCCGGATTCACACATCTTCAGGTTGATGAATTATCGTTATGTTCATTCTTAGATGTTTGTAGATTATTTGTATATGTTAGTTGTCGAGAAAGTAGTGTTTCTCAGACAAGCAAGGCTTATGGGAGTTCAGTGTATTGTGTCTCCATCTGGTGACTGTCCACGAGATGGACCAGACGTTATGGCTAATATTGAATCAATGATCTATGGGTAATATCATTCAATATACTGGTAAGCACCAAATGTTTCACGCAACTGACATTGATCTATAGAAAGAACGACAGGGCTCTATTACCACAAAACAAACATCGTCTCACTTCAAATGGGATGTCTGTGCAGTTTTAGGACCTAGTTCATTATGTTCTGTAACGCCACTGTGTTCATCCATTCTCATACTCGGCAAGGCTTCATTCCTGTGGACAAAATCAAAGTGTCGTGAAATTACCGTGGCACTCCCCAGATATTATCACATCTGTGCTGGCAGCGCGAGGGTCAGTTTAGACATCACGCCAGACAAAGGGCAGTGAAAGTGATAATGGTTTGGCAAGTATCTAATGTTGCTTCAGACTGAGTTGTCGAGATACTCGTTCCATTTAAAGGTTTTCTTCAATTACTACCAGGACAACTTCTGCAGGTTATTTATTTTTGGAACCCTCCTATTAAATATTAGGATTGATGGCTCAGAAACAGTTGGAAATGAGTCAGAAGTAGAAATGTTGTTATATTTCTGTTCACATTGCTGTGCAACTGATTTTTTCACTCCATAAACTGCAAGCTTTAACATACAGCTCTTTCTTCTTTGGCACAGCTTCATTAAATTTTGTGTCAAGTTTAGGTTAACCAAAGTGAAGCTGTCTCGGTACAATCTTCAATGAAGACTTGTTCACAACAATTTTATCCAAAGCCAATATATGACATTTTGGAGCAGCCCAAAGATACGTACTGATTCACCAGTTTACTTCTTCATTTATAGTGGCAGCTGTGTGCAGGAGCAGACGTCATCATTCAAAGGGCTGTAACTCTTAGTTCCTTGTTTTTGTCTTAATCTGTACTTTTCGAATATTTCCAGTATAATTTCTTTTGGGAAGATAAAATTAAACAAACTATATATACAAAGGTATTTTCATAGGTTCAGATGATAAGATCACGTCGTCTCTAAAATCTGACATGACAAAATACATGGCACTATTTTTCAACATTATTAAATTGTATCATGATTTATCAGTAGTGATAAAATCACATCTTTTATCTGATACATTACCTTTCTGTGTGAAAACCTGCTGTCTCCATAGAAGCAACACCATGTGAACCCTGATCAAGCTTGGAGTCAGTTTTGTAAAATGATTTGGCTGAATGTCTTTACAACCATGATTGTGAAATTTGATTATAACAAAACTAACCAAACACACAGAACACACCTTCTGGGAGTAGCTGCCATGGCACTCAGAAATGACAGGATGTATAATAACCCCACAACAATATAAAGGTGCCACCTTTATCATTTCCATTCGGAACAGGCCGATAAACTTTGTTTTTGAGATACAGAAATGAGATATTCTGGTCTGAATGTTTCACTCCATGTACCCAGAATTAAAACCCTTGAGACTGATTTGGAAGTTCCTCTAACACAACCTCCTTTTGAGGTGTTGTCAGAACTTCATGCAGAAAGGTAAAGTCTGATTTTATAAAAGACTTGTCACATAAAACATAGTTGTGATTCTTGAAAGCAAAATGAGAAATTTACATTGGTTACTGTAAATCTTGAAATTAACGTGCGCATGAATTAAATGTGAAAAATGTGAGTGGTCTTTGTTCGCATTAATGAAACATCGCATTTGTCTCCAAAATGACTATATCAATAAATTCTCTTCCATATGTGTATCACTTCTAAATGCCATTCAAAGATTTATATCGATAACAACCACATAAGAAGTTCAATTAAAGAATAGGAATTACACGATAGGCATCTGGTGAGTTATCACTGCTTGGGTCAAGACTTTTACCCACTCGTGTTAAACTTGGCATCATTGACCACTCCAATCAGTGAACTGTTGTTGGTTCAATCATTTTATTGCCTTTGAACTTCCTTAATGCCAGTCAGCAGAATAAACGTATTAACTGTGTGTTGTTTTTAGGAAAACACTGTTTATTGTTATTACAGAAGTGTTTTACTCTGTGCTAATAAGTTGTTCTATTTGTTGTCTGATTGGATTAAGGTAAGGATAGGTATCATTCCACTGGGGATGGGGTGGGAGGAGTAGCATTGATACTGAGTCACATTTTTGGCTAGGGGTCAGCAGTCGTATTAATTTGGAGACGCATTAATTTCAAGATTTACAGCATTGGTTTGATGGCTTGGTAACAAGATCCATAAAGAATGCTTTCACACTTTCTTAAAAAGACACTCACATTTGTGAGAAGCATGAAATGCTCCAAGTAACAGGAAAAAACGTCTTTTGTGCGCTTTTATTTAAAAATAACATGGCCAATTAAACTTGGCATACTAATTAAATCAGGAGAGCTGAAATAGTTTGTCTACTTGAAAGTGCCTATCAGACACTTGTCACTGAGTCATGTGACTGAACCTTCAAAATTAATAGAGAACACCAGGCTACTCATATGGTCCAAAGGCCAGAACAACTTCACTGTGAGGCCAGTCATCCATAAACCTTTCACATTTCCTACATTTTCTTTGAAACCATGAGCCCAATCAAGCTGGAAGTCTTCACTGGTGGGAAGAAGTTTGTTCACTTCCTCTCCAACTTTAGAAAAGTTGGATCTCCATGGCAACCACATTGATAAGGCTAATTGGGACTATTGGTTCTCCATTTGTGCAGATAATTTCATGAAATTTGACATGTTCCTCATATGTGGCAGGTTTCTAAAAGAAAGTTTTTCCCCGGAATGATTGTACCAGATTGTATTTATTGTGAAAAGAACAAAAGTCCATGGGACTATTTCTTTAAATCACAGCGCTGAGGTTATGCATAATTCACAGCGGTATATTTAATACTTTGTTGAAATGAAAACTACACAATAAGGATAAAAATTCTTCCTAGCATTAAATAATCTACATATCTTAGTTCCCAACAATGAGAATAAGGTTGACCAATAGGCATAGGGACTAATATGGACAGTTGTGGTTTGAAAGTACAACATTGTCGTGAAGGCATCAGGCCATGAATTACACATACCTATGATACTGAATGAATACTGGATTCTTGTTGTTGACATGCCATGACTTTCTCTTTCTGAGTTATCCCCCTTATCTTCCTGCACTTCTTTTAGCTACATGCAACTATGAGAGCTATCCCCCCTGGTCTTTCTACCCTTATGTTGGATAGATGTCATTTTCAGAGTTATCTCTCAAGTCTTTCTGCCCTCCTGTTGCCTGTCAGAGATATCCCCTTGTCTTCCAGCCATCCTGTTGACCATGTCTCTATCAGAGTAATCCCCCTTGTCTTCCAGCCATCCTGTTGGCCATATGTCTCTCTCAGAGTAATCCCCCTTGTGTTCCTGCCGCAGTGTTGGCCATGTCTTTATCAGAGTAATCCCCCTTGTCTTCCAGCCATCCTGTTGGCCATATGTCTCTCTCAGAGTAATCCCCCTTGTGTTCCTGCCGCAGTGTTGGCCATGTCTTTATCAGAGTTATCCCCCTTGTGTTCAAGCCGTCCTGTTGGCCATATGCTTCTCTCAGAGTTATCCCCCTTGTGTTCCAGCCGTCCTGTTGGCCATATGTGTGGTGGTGCTGTTCAACTTCCACATCCTCAGCTCATCCAGCAACGCCACCTCAGAATCCAATGACCCTCTGAACTCTGGCCTGGTCCCGATCATCAACCAGCTGAACGGCGTCCCGCTCCAGCGCCGCCTGACTAATGTGCAGGAGAACCTGGCCTTCATTCCCAGGAACATCCACCTCCTGGACCTGAAGCAGAGCCTGGTGGTGCCAGACTTCAAATGTGTGTTGTCTCAGACTGATCCCAGCTTCCCAATCTGTGTGTATCCCCCTGAGCAGGACAAGTTCATCTCCGGGGCGCTGCTGCACAGTGGTGTGTGGGAGCCCTACATCACCAAGGTCTTCAAGAAGGCTCTGCAGAAACACCCCAATGCTGTGGTACTGGACGTGGGGGCAAACATAGGTGAGTGAGTGAGTGAGTGAGTGAGTGAGTGAGTGAGTGAGTGAGTGAGTGAGTGAGTGATGAACGTATATGAGATATGATTAACTTTGACATATATTTCATAAAGTATATTGCTGAAAAATCACACAGCTTTTAATTAAGCAACTATGAACAAAAATTGAACTTGGGATATACATTTGTATATAAGTTAAATATCAACACATTTAGAAAGTGGTCAAATTCAACAAGTGTTATATCTGGGTAAAACTTTCTCAGTAAAGTACAGATTATAGTACTTTTTGGGGTTGAGTCACATCTGGGATTCAAACCCACACTATCACTACTAAATATAGTAAGTTTATTACAAGATACCTACATATATATATTCTCAAACACATATCCCCCATTACTATTATTACATCCTCTATGGGAGAAAGGTCTAATTACAATAATTCTGTAAAACAAACTATTTGTCATATTACAATATCATGATAATGTAGCAGGGCGTGGAGTCATCCCACAGATGACATCCTTACCTTGTCAGCTTGCTTAACGGGGTTAACCTCTTTGGTCATGTGGACAAGGCGTCCGACCTCTGATCAGAAGGTCTGTGGTTCGAATCCCATCCCAGGACTCAGAAATTTTATGGGCGCTACAATAAGGTGAACTGAAATCGTTCTAGGGCCTAGACGGCGGCTTGGGTTGTATATTCCCCAGGAGCTGATAGTCTAATTCAAGTTCAAATTGCTGTAAGCCGAGAGCTGCGGTGGGGTCCTACAGTCAAGAGATGACCCTACAGGGCGGCTCTCGGCTCGACTGATCCGTGAATCCCAGGATCCACTCATCCATAGTAAATACTATGTTGTGTGCTTCTATTAATATTTGTCATATAAGTCAGTGATGCTTTGTTCCTCCCAGGTTACTACAGTTTCCTGGCTGCGAAGATGGGCCACATGGTTGTTGCGATTGAACCAGCTGAGGAGAACGTGTGGCGGTTTCACAAAGGCGCCCAACTTGGTCGCCTCACTGATGTCATATACCTGCTTCAGAACGCCATGTCTGACAAACATCAAAACATCACACTGATCACCAACAAGGACAATCAGGGCGGAATCCGAGTCACTGAGGGCGCTGATCAAGGGGAGACAATTGGCACAGTTACCATGGACGACCTCCTGTATTTAATGAGACCGGCGGAAGTTATCATAAAAATTGACATAGGTAATCTCTCTGAATTATGCTCGCTTTGCCTTGTTTTAATTATATTGATGTTTGTCTTTTTGATTTACAAAATCAAAAAACATTTTTTACCTGCCAAGTAATCATCTAGCTCGCACCTGGTGTAACAACTAATCTTCTGATTCATTACTCAGTCACCTATCCTCAAGTGCCTACTCTTTCTGACCTAAACCTAAGTGGTGACATAGAGGGGTTGGAGTACGTCCCCAGCAACCTATGCTGGCTGTATAAGGTGACCAAATGGATCGGGTGCTCAGACTTGGTGGCTTGACTGACCAGTGTCATCCCACCCCGAAGGTGCACAAAATTACCCTATTTTTAGCATTTTGCAGGCCAGGGCAGAGAAAACAAAGAATAGAATATGATAATAGTTCTTGCTGTGATTAGTTTAGATCTGATAAGATCTGAGGGCAAGAGACCAATTTGAGCCAGATCCATCACTTGGGTCTTACAAAAATAGAAAACATAACAAGTTACCTCCTTTTAAACTTTTCATAAAAAAACAGGTTTTCTTATACTTTCAGAGGGCTATGAGTGCAAAGCGATGGCCAAGTCTGCCCAATTGTTCCAGCAGGTTCATGTGCCTTACATCTTCATGGAATGGCAGCAGATGTTCAAACGGCGCATGTCCGACACTGCCTGCCCACCATACGCCATGCAACAGCTCACGGACATGCTTACACAGCGAGGCTACAGTGCACATGAAGTTCGGACAGGCATCACGATGAGTCCAGAGGAGAGCACAATCAGATGGAGAGTTGGAGACATCTACTGGAGACATCAGACACAACCACTGTTGTTCCCGCCACTTTGAGGAGCAGCCATATTGGAGCGTCTGCTCCTGCCTGATTCTCGATGGTCACCAAGGGGCACTGTTGGTGTTTTGAGGTTTAGAGCTGGGTCCTTGGATGTCAAGTCCACTGATTTGTATTCAGAGGTTATTGCTGGACCTATGGTTCTTTGATTTGAGAACAAGATCAAACAGAACGAAAGTTGTATTGACCTCCCACAGGTGGCTATAATAGCCTGTGCTGACGGCTTCATAACAGCTATTTGCATAAATGAGGAAACGTAATGTTCAAATTTCTAAGCTTGAACAGGTGCACAGAACAATTGTATGGAGGCCTTTCATTTAGCAATCTGATTTACAGATTATTTACACCCAAATCACTAAGCACCGTTATGTTGTCGGACAAAATAAGATTAACATGAAATATTGAAAACATAAAAAAATATTCTTGATCAGCATGATCATGGGAAATCTTTTTTTTTAAAACCCCAACATTTTGGGTAAATACCATTTCCTTTTAACTCACTTTGAACATGCTAAATTTTTAATCGTTACTGAAATATGTTAATTTACTGAAATAAGTTAATTTACTCCTCAAAATTTGGATTTTATTCCTGGATTATTTACCATGTTACCAAACTGGCAAGAGTAATACTTCAACATAGAGCAATATTTCACTATACAGTACATATATATAGACATGCATGTAATATGTGTAACACCCATATACATGAAATACCACTTGAGAAGAAGCATCTCTTTGAACATATGCTTGCATACTTTGTCTCATGTGAGATTGAGAATTCCATTTGACAAAACAAATTATATGCCTTCATCAATTTAGTCAGCACAAAGTGTATTTTTGACTCATAAACACTGCTCCAGCTTCAGTTGTCGGAGATGCTCATGATGCTGATCGTGGTAGACGTGTACTTCTGGATTTCCTAGGGTAGTTTGTTTTCAAGTGATCATATATACTTGACAATATTTATTTTTTAAATCATCAGCATACTGGATAAGATTGTTACGGCTTCATGGGATCTTTAACTGATATAACTGAATGTGACAACTTTTTAATTAAGATTGGTTTAGTACCATTTTTATATTGTTGTTAATATAATTATATTTTGTGCAACCTATAAATCATTTTACATTATGGTTTAAAATATAAAATAGTAAGGGGCTCAGAGAATGTCTTAATTTTCAAACTGATATTGATGAAATATAGATTTGCCAATGCATTGTTTACTTGCTTGGGTATTTTTTTACTTTTTGGATATCACAAACTCATGCAGTGAAGGCACTGCTAAAACAGCATGCATTTGTGCTCATGCTCTCAACCGTTGGTTTGTCTGAGCCAGATTTGATCATCTATACCGTCTGCTGGGATAAGTATGAAATATTTCTGGATAATAAAAAAAATAAAAAATCATTCACTCATCCACTTGAAATAATTGTCTTTTTAACAACATGAAAATAAAGTTTTAATAAAGTTTTTAAGAGGATATTTTCAGTTTGACCATGTTGATATACCTATCCTGTTTCTTGTACAGATGGCATTAGTTTCCAGGAATAGCTTCTTGTGAGATCTGTACGACGTATTGCTGTCACCTGACCACACAAAATGATTATCATGTTTATGGATCTGCAAACTCCGAAGTTTGTGAAAGTTTGAAAAAAATATTTTTCCTATTTATTTCTTATTTCATTATTTAGCTTCTTGGCATGTCAGAAAATCCATAAACTGATCTGTTTTTTTAGTTTCATGAAGACATGTCAAGCACTGGAATTCTTCTCCTTAGTTAATGTCACAACTTTTCCCAATATTTTATCAATTTGTGTAACTGACACATTTAAGATGTATGGACTGGTGATATGAAGAGAGACATTATCACTCATGAATGAAGCCATATATTTCATGTTCTTTATACTGCATGTTGGACCTTGTGTCCAATGATAAATAATACTACATATATTCCCAGTCACAAGCAATGACAAGAAGGACTGATTGAACGTAAAAATGAAAAGGTAAATTCTAATTTGCAGATAAAAGATTCCATTTTTCTTTCACCTTCTAAAACCTCTGGGGAAAACACAAATTTGAGTACCGGTACTTTGGATTTCTTTCTTTGATGATTATGCCAACTTGTGTTGAGAGATTTCACTAAAGGTATTTCATGAACAAACATTTGTCACTGCAAATACTATTATTCAGAAATGACTCCTTGGAACAAAAGTGTTAGTTTTACTTTACACTCAATACCTTGAGCCCGTAAGCCTGACAAAGGTTTCTTCCACATCCCAGAAAACAAGCTTCAACAGGACATTATAACCAACAAAATAATTTTTTTTTTTTTCAAATGACTCCTCCTTTAGCATGTTTAGGTCACAAGATATTTTTCTTAGGATTCTTTTCCCAATATTTTATCAATTTGTGTAACTGACACATTTAAGATGTATGGACTGGTGATATGGAGAGAGACATTATCACTCATGAATGAAGCAATATATTTCATGTTCTTTATTCTGCATGTTGGCCCTTGAGTCCAATGATAAATAATACTTCATATATCCCCAAGAAGGACTGATTGAACGTAAAACAGCGAGAACACAAATTATCCTGTATTGACAAAGGGAATTCTTTTCCTGTATGAACCTGATTAGGGCTGGGACGAGTCAAAATTTACTACCCGGGTACCCACCCCACTATTACCCGACCCTACCCAGGTACCCAGGGCTCAAGAGATTGGGAATAGTTTGACCTTGTCCTTGGGAAAATGTATTCAGATACTCGTAGAAAACGATCTGGTCATGCATTCACATAAGTTGACTGAAGTTTTATCTCTATTCAAACATATAAAGTCAGAAGGAATGCGAGCACAGTCAGAAAGAAATGTGAACATTAGTCACTTATAGTGTAACCGTGGAAGTTCTAGATAATTTTTGTCATTAAACAATATATCACGTGACTAACCACGGGTCCGGGTAGTCCTGTGGGTATCCAGGTCCTACTCAGGAACCGCCCGACCCGAGTACCCGAGTTACCCGTGCCAGCCATACTTATGATAGCAGCTACCTTGTAAACAAGAAGCAAATCTAACGTGTGTTATAAATAGACAATGCCTTTCAGAAAGTGGTCAAATGTAACATATATTGGGATTACACTTGGTTAGTGAAACTGGTACACATTCCCGCAATGTCCCACGAGGGCCACAAAGTCAGCAACCTTTACTAAGAAAGTGTAATGACAAATAACATGTTACATTTGACCACCTACCACGACTGTCTTTTCAAGCTTTTGGCCATGGGAGCAGTGCCAATTTACACATATCCGAGGGGTACACAAAGTACGTGATCTAGACTACCAGTTGTTGGTCTTCCATGTTGTGACTGCTGAGTCTGTGTGTTGGCAATTAGGTGCCTCACTCTGAAAGTGTGGGGTCAAATCACGGATATATAAACTCTGACCACTTTCTAAAAGGTATTGTCTATTCAAAGAATGAAATCATTCTCATTTTACAACATCTACAAATATCAAATATTAACCAGCTTCATACTTAATTGTTATATCTTAGCCTTTTCAATATTCAGATTATTTGAAGAACATCAAAATTTACACACAACTCCGGTGACATGATGCACCACATTTACCTCCCTTACCCATGACAGGATAAGTTTGTCATTCTGTCCCAGATTTGCCCCATTATGACCCATGGTCTGTCAATAATATTACTGAAGCGATAATGAATATTTATTTGTTGTTTCCCTATTATATGTCTGTTTAAACTCCCAATTGGTAAGGGTATATTCTGCCCTGCAATATTATCAACAGAGAGCTCTATGTTAAACGCACAATGTGGTTAAATGCATATCTTGAGCTGATATCATATTCTACATGACAGTTGTCCTGGCTCAGTAATCCTTGGCAGACAATTCCTCATAAAATGAGGAAGGTCAAAGATTTACTTTTTCTTTCACCTTCTAAAATCTCTGAGGAAAACAAAAATTCATATACTTTGGATTTCTTTCTTTGACGATTATGACAAGCAGCGTTGTGAAATTTCACGTAAGGTACTTCATGAACAAACATTTGTCACTGCAAATACTATTATTCAGAAATGACACCTGGAACAAAGTGTTAGTTTTACTTTACACTTAATACCTTGAGCCCGTAAGCCTGACAATGGTTTCTTCCACTTCCCAGAAACAAGCTTCAACAGGACATTATAACCAACAAAATAATTTATTTTTTCTCTAACGACTCCTCCTTTATGTCACAAGATATATTTCTTGGGATTCTTATGAACCTTACTTAAGTTTTGCAAACTTCCAAACCTAAGTGACGTCTTTGATTGAAAATATGCTTATGCTGAACACATGATGAACACGTGATGAACAAATATTTGTTTGTATTCTGGCTTAAGCTTTTTAATTCAAGGTTATTCAGAAAATATTTTTTTATTTTGGCATCATCTTGCATACTGACTAAAAAAATCTGTACAACAAGACGTGGACTGATCTGGTTTTAGTGATAAAACACAAAAGTAATAAAAACATTCATGCCAACACATTCAGTTGTAGAAAATCTACCCTCGCTACCCTCCAGGGTACAGCCAACAATGTAGAATAAGTTGTCATCTCACAGTACCAGTTGTACACAAGCAGTATATTGCCTGCATGTGTGCAATAGTTAAGTGCCTTAGTAATCCAGCTTTCTTTTTTTGCAGTTTGTCGTTTATGTGTTACCTCTTTGTTTCCCAGTTTATAACTATGTGTTGTTTAAGTTGGTTAGAATTCAGTTTGCATTGTGAAATTTTTGTTTTCTTGTCCAGTTCTATATACTGACTAGTTTGTTACGATTTGTAAATTAGATCCAAAATGTGTACAGTTTATCAGTAAATTCATGATTAGAAAATCTAAATTTGTCATTGTTGTCATTTGACGATTGTGTCAGGATCGTCCGACTCTGAAGCAATATATCACCTCGTTCATCTGGTTCTTCTTCAAATATATATAGGGAGAAGAGACGTCATATCAGTCATATATAGAGGATATTATATGAGTGTTCATGTCATACTACGTTTACCACACTCGTGCCTAAATTCCAGTATTTCCCCGAGTGAGAGGCACAAGTGTTGTAAACATAGTATGACATGAACACGAATTTAATGTTCTATTTATTACCAAAGATGTCTACAGACAGAGACAAATTTTAGTGTAAGCCTATAAGGACAGCAAGTCACAGCGAAACCACAATTTGTCGAATGACGTCAGCTATAACGTCTTTTCTTGTGTGACATCATTCCAACATCACGTCACAATAAGATTCGAATGACATCAACAATGCCATCCGGATAACGGAAACAATACACTGTTGTCTCGTGACGTGATCTGACCCTAGGGCACATATGACTTTTATGAACCCCAAAATGTTTGCCCTCGTAAGTAATAAACAATAATTATTAGGACTGCACAGTATCACCAGTATACTGCAATACGTTTTTCAAACGATATGCATTGCAATATTATTTCTGTGTTCCGGAATATTGGGGAAAACGAATTCAACAACTTTCATTAATATTTGTATTGATCATAAGATCAACATAACATATGTAATGTATCCCTTGGTTATTTATCAAATATGTTCGTATAGTCTTGAACACAATATACAAACATCATATCCTAACAGCATGTATTGACACAAAACCGTATGTCAAACCTACACTGGCTTGATTATGCCTGTAGATACCATCAGAAAAAAGTGTTTTGAAGTAATCTTCATTTACTGTAAAATGCCTTTTTAATAATTGTTTGTTTGTTGTTTAACACCGCATTCAGCAATATTCCAGCAGCCTGTAAATAATAGAAACTAGACCAGACAATACAGTGATTGATATCATGAGCATTTATCCCTTAATGCCGAGCGCGAGACAGGGTAACAACAAGTACTATCTTTTAACTTCTTTTGGTATGACGCAGCCGGGGATCGAATCCGTACCTTCTGCCCAAGCAACTGGAATACAATGACGTGCATCAACCAAGTCAGTGAGCCTGACCACCTGAGCCCATTAGTCGCCTCTTACGACAAGCATATAATAGTCGCCTTTTACGGCAAGAATGGGTTGTTGAAGTCCTATTCTACCCTGGAACTTCAAGGGTCCCGTACTTAATGGTATGTACAGTACTTAACTATAGTTGACTTACATCTTCTAATTGAATTCCGTTCACCAAACACATCCCTTAGGAGGATTCCAGGTTACAACAGGTTCCCAGCAACCTCTGCTGATTAAGAGGCTAGTAAATGGATAGCGGAGGCAGGTCCAGTGACTGCTCATAATATCAATCACATGTCTGTCTGGTTCAAACTTGATTATTTACAGGCCGATGTCATACAGCAGGACTATTGCTGAATGTGGCATGTTAAACAAACCATGTTTTGACTGGGCATCAATTCCATTGCCCTCATTTGGAATCATCAGTCATACTCCACACATGAAGGTAGTCATTGAGGGTATACTATTGGCTGGAAGACCTAAGGTAACACATGGCCTGAATATGTCAGCATGGAATTATCTCTCTGTAAAGCTTCTGCATTACAACATTTCAACATATCTAGAACAAAAATCAATTTATTCTGGTAAACAGTCAGTCATGCCTTGTGTTTTGTTACACAAAGCATAGATCCATGTCGTTTATGAAATGGACACTTGATGACGATGAGAGACCAACTGAATCTTGGACAAAAGAGGCAGGCAGAGAAGACACTCCCTGACCAGACCAACAGCACCAACTGCGAATCTCCTGACTAAACATAATTTTCATCATGTGCACAGCTGACTGAAATTAAAAAGCTATTTCCAGTCCACTGAAACGAAAGTCCACTCGATCTTGTAAACAACTGCCTCAACTCAATGAGAGCAAACAAGAATGATAAGTAGTGTGCCTTTGAGTTGAGGTTAAATGTGGTGTAAAGTTGCTATCAAGATTATTGCACTTATATAGTCACATGCTTGCACATGTGTGTGAGTTTGTGTTCGGCTGCAAGTATTAGTCCCAACTCAAGACCATTGAGATAACACGAGTGAGTGAGTGAGTGAATTGGGTTTAACGCTGCTTTTAACAGTATTCCAGTTATATCACGGCGTGTCAGCTTAATGTGGGAGGAAAGCCCGAAGTGATGCAGGTCTCAGACGTTTACCACTTCGGTGAAACCCACGAGCATTGGTATGGTGCTGACAAACCTAGAAACATAATCGGGTCGAACCGGGATTCGAACCCACTATCATAGTTTTCTGCACTCTGCACAGCGAATCGCGGCGCCTTAGACGACTAAGCCACCTGTTCTCCCTGATAACACAAATATCTCACTCAGACACAGAATATGGAATCCTGGTTTTATCCCCTTAATGAGTAGCACCAGGCAGGGTAACAACAAGTATCATCTTTCAGGGCCTCAGTGTGTTTGAGAGAGTGTAAGATGCAACTACAAAAGAACTTGGTCTCCAAACATTCCAAATCTCTTTGGCATACTACGTACAAATCACTTGAATGTTAAAAGTGTGTTTTGATTGTGTCATGAAGAGCAAATGGCAAGCAGATCACCAAACAGAGGATCGAAAACCTATTGGGCAAAATCAGTACATATATACAGTACAGCTATACAAATCATAACTCATGCACTCATTAGTATGTTTAAACTTTTCCTTAGCTGGCATGTAGATACTAGGGAGTATTGCAATAACTACAGAGTTCGGGATGGTGGAGATTCATTGGATAGGCACACTCTATGAACATAAGTCACCACTCGCTCCTATGAGAAGCCTGCACGAAGACTCGTCCCCCTACTGGTGAATGTTATGAGCGAAAAAACAACAAACCAATCAGAATACATGTATCATATTCAATGTAATAAGCGCCCAGGGCGCTCTCAAAATTAGAAATAGGGGTCTCTTTTTAGAATATAATTTTGATGAAAGAGTTGAAAGATCGTTAATTTTGTGGTTTATGCTGACAGCCTGAAATGATACAAAAGAAAAGTCTGAGCGTATTATACACGACAGATAAATTTTTCCAGAATTTAATTGCCCGTAATTAAGGGTGCATATAACACACGATTGCTTATTATACACGAATAAATAAGTCTTGTGTACATTGATCAATCAGAAGGGTGCTAATTGGGATTGTTCACTAACCAATATATTAGCAAATATCGCTGTGGGCCCTTCTTAGAGCTGGGCGCTTATTACATCGAATATGGTATTACGTAAAGTTTGGTCAAAGAAGTCCTAATTTTTGTTTTGTACATGTCTTGAATCCAATAATATATCAAAGATACAGTCATGTGTGTTCAATTATACTGAATAATACCGAAAGTCCCCATGTGTTTGAATAGCATCTGGAATACTTATGATATATGGGGAAATATATGTGAATCATTACGCAACGAGTTGACAATTCTTTTAGCTATGCCCGTTTACACTTAGACGGAATCCAATCACAAAAATGTCCACGAGTGGGGCACAAGTCGCTATTCAGCACAGAATAACATGAGTTGTCACGAATGTCTCTGAAGTGATACCGCCAGCTCCTCAGCAAACATTGGCGAGGTGAGGTGAAATTGGGTTTAACGTCGTGTCCAAGATTATTGCACTTATATACAACGTGTATGCGCGTGTTTGCGTGGCTGCTGTACTATTCTGGACTGATTTATAGTGCTAGCTCACTGAGATACCATGCCGCAGTTTAACATGAATACCCCACTCAGACACAGTATACTGACTCCGAGCTGACCAGTCCTTGTTTTAGCCCCTTTATGCCGAACGCCAGACATGGTAACAACAGGTACCATCTTTTAACGTCTTTTGGTATGACACGGCCGGGGATCGAACCCCGGACCTTCCGCTCTCCGGGCGGATGCTCTACCACAAGACCATGGAGGCAGCCCAGCAAACGTTGAACAGCATGGATGACACTCACTGACACAAGTACTCACCTTCTTTGGTCCCAGCTCCAGGGCCATCACCTTGGTGAGCATGTCGACAGCACCTTTAGACGAGCAGTACACAGTATGGTTCTGCAGAGCCACCTGGGATGCCACGCTCGACACATTGACAATTGCACCTCCCTTGCCACTGTCTACCATTCCTTTAGCAAACACCTGAAATTATCAACCACAAATACACTGAAAACTATCCTTGGACCGTCGATTGCATGTGATCCATCCTTTCAAGACAAGCGGAGTACCGATATTAGACTATAGCAGATAAGGTTTAAATCTCATTAAAGTCAGATGTTTACTCAGTTACACCAAGTCTCTGCATAAAGATCTGATAAACCTTGACCGTCCAATCTCAGTGAAGAAGGGGTAGGTTCTGGAGCCAATCAGATGCCAGCTTTCTAAATTCGAATCAGCTTCTTTTCCTTACCAGCTCCTGTATTTGGAAAGTTTAATACAGAAAACCACGTCAGCTTCAATAGCATACCTTCAAGGGAGTAGGTGCCATGACACTCAGAAACAAGAAAGTGTACAAAATATCCACAACATAACAGTGTAACCTTTATTATTTGCATTCAGAACTGTTTGTTTTCAAGATACAGCAATCAGTTATGCTACCCTAAAATGCTTTGTCCAATTGTACCAAGAGTCTAGAAGTAAAAAAGGTGATTGGCTGATTCGAAGGTTAACCTGACACAACCTCCTATGGAGGGTTGATCAGATCAAATTGGAGTAAAAGATCTGATTGGATAAGGATTCTGCTCGGATAATATCATTATACTTGAGTGGTGCTAGAATCACACAAAATGAAATAAACATGGTTTCATGGAACTTCAGTGAGACAGAAGATTCTAAAGTCAAAAGAATACAAAGAATACAAAAAGATCCAAATCATTGCCCAATAACAAACTGTTGTAAAGCTATTAGAGATAACATAAAGGTAAGTAGACAAAAGCAGTAATCATGGTAACTGATATAAAAACAGCAACATAAAACATTTAATTCCTTGGCTGGAATATTATGAGTTCTGCTCTGGAAATCAAATTTATTATCTAGTTTAGGTCATCTTTTTCTTACAGAAATGGAAAATAGTTAATGAAATTGTTTTTGTTAGTACTCTTTGAAAATAACGCTTATTCAGTTTGGATATTGGTATGTTTCATCTTCTTTCAAACAGATAAGTCCCAGATTGCTAAAATAAACATTTTCAAATGAGATGTTTGCAAGTTATTGTGGTGTCTGCAAACCTTGAATTTAATCAAGACAACTTTGTAAGACCCAACAATTATCCAGTTGTACAGTAAACTATGGTTATAACGACCTATAAGGGACCACTAATTTTAGTACAAGGCACATACACAGCCTAGATACAGAAAATTGACGGGAGCCAAAGACAGTTCGTAATATCAGTCAGTTCGGTATAAGCGTGTTCGTTATAAACATAGTTTACTGTACATGTGAAAGTGTAACAGTGGCTAACAATGAATTGTGCAACCATGTTTAATACTGTAACCCCAAAGGCGACCTTGATATATATGCCACTAAAGATTTTTGTGGTAGAATTTGTAAAGAACCGTGCAAATATAAATCTCATGACCTTGACCTTTGACCTCATAGCATGTGACAAAACTATTCCCTCAGTCAATGTGAAATAAATCCATTGTAGGATATCCACTTATGTAAGTGATCTTTGTTCCATATTCAAAAGAATGCATAGTACATCTACTATTACTGCAAAGGTGACCTTGACCTTTGAAATAAAGGGGGATACGGTAGAATTAAAGAAATATGTACAAGTAAAGGTTCCATGTCTGCAGAGGAAACCATGTCCTGGAACCTGACAACGATATATCCATGTTTACAAAAACCTGAACTCTGATCTTGACCTTTGATTAATCTTAACCAAAACCTTTTGAAAACTGGGCCAATCCTAGAGAAGGTATACATCAAGATTATATACTTTTTGAGGATATGTAACGTCAAACATTTTTGTGGTTATTTTCTACCTTGACATCTGACCTCTTCATGACATTGGCCTAAAGAACTTCAAAGGGCAATTCGAAAGAAATCCATGGAAGAATAATACCTAATGTCAACAATCTTTGTGTCATAATTTTTAGAAAAATCACTTGGTCAAATTTCCAACAAAACCTAAATCAGTCCCGTTTCACAGGGAAGCTAATAACAACAGACACCACTTTCATGTGAAAGGTTGGGGGTTTGGGGGGCATAAACTGAAAAGAATTACCGTGGTAGATCACACCGAGTGGCAGTCTACCTTGTCCTGATTGGCTGATAATAGGGTGGGTGGGGGCTTGGAGTGCATTATTGGAATGAACGATGTCACTGAGTTTGTATCGTCTACAGCTTTTTGTTAATGAATAAATACACATTTGGGAATTTATTATTGTTCACATGTTTACTAATAACAAGCGTATAGTTGACAAAGTCATCTATATCCCCCGCCCATTTTAACACGTTATTGTCCCAAACCAGGTAACTGACCCAACATTTCTCTCAGCCCATGTCAAAATAGCTGCAATGGAAATTCTAAAATAAACATTTCTAAACTCCTTAATATCAAATGGCACTTGTTCAGTATGCGCTTTATATATAGACATGCAATGTTTGGCAAGGAAATATTTAACAGTTTATTTGTTATACTCCCTAAGTAAACCAATCCTATATTAAAACTTAAATCCAACTTGTCATGAAACGTAAACAATAAAAAATTCTAAAAGTGCTATATATCAAAAGGCACCAGTTCAGCATGTGCCTGGTAGACATGCAAAGTTTTGTAAGAAAGTATTTAACGGTTTTTGAGTTACGCTCCGGAAACGAACACCACCCCTGTAGATCCTAAGTCCAACTTATTGCCATGGAAACGTGAAAAATAAAAATTTCTAAAATTCCTAAATAGCAAGGGGCACCAGTCCAGTATGTGTCTGGTAAACATGCAAAGTTTTTGTTGGAAAGTATTGAATTGGTTTTGAGTTATGCACCGGAAACAAACTCTACCCTATAGAACCTAAGTCCAACTTGTTGCAATGGAAACGTAAAAAATGAAAATTTATAAAATTCCTAAATAGCAAAAGGCACCAGTTCAGTATGTGCCTAGTAGACATGCACAGTTTTGTAAGAAAGTATTTAACAGTTTTTGAGTTATGCTCCGGAAACGAACAGCACCCTTATAGAACCTAAGTCCAACTTGTTGCCATGGAAACATAAAAAATAAAAATTTATAAAATTCCTAAATAGCAAAAGGCATCAGTTCAGGCATGAGTTTGATAGACATGCAAAGTTTCGTAGAGAAATATATAACGGTTTCTGAGTTATGCTCCGGAAACAATTTCGGAACGCACACACGCACACACACACGCACGCACACACTGACGGAACCCATTTCTATATCCCCCGCCAACTTCGTTGGGGCGGGGGATAATAACTGACTCAAGTATGCTTTCGTGTTTACATGTTTTATGATTATACTTCCATAAACGCAAAAATTACTTAAGTCAATTCATAAATATATTTGATCCATCAAAAACTATGTACAAACACCTACCTGGGATACATTGATGACTGACTTGATGTTGACATCATACACACTGGAACAGAAGGCCAGCATTCAAATACACTGACATGACAAACACAAGTAACACGTCCAGCTGGGCAGACTTAAGAAATAAACAACTTGTGGTCATTGTTTATATATTGGAGAAAACACGCTCACGAGGTTTTGGTAGACAGAACATGCCCTGGGGAGAGGGAAAAACCAAGTGGGCCCCCACGGTTTTTCCCGACCCCCAGGGCATGCTCTGTCTACCAAAACCGAGGGAAAGTGTTTTTCCATGCTTATAAACCGAAAAAAGAAACTTAAAACAACATTTATCAACATTTTTATGTTTCGAACATACTTTCCATGAACCTTAGGAAACGCGCGTAAAATATCTGTTGCTGGCGTACGGATCTTGAGAGGACATTCTAAAAACCAGTGAGGCTTATCAACACCTCTGTAGCCTCGTGGTACACTCACTGGGCTACAGATATGAAGGTTGCGAGTTCGATCCTCGGGAATATAAAGAAAACATTTGTCATTTGATTTTACATTTCATTACATGTTACAATCTGGACGGAAGTTGTATTAATAAAATACCCAGGACATTATATAATACAACGTCCCTGTTTATGAGATTTAAGCCGACTGGAAAATAAAACCTCACAATAGGTTTTAATGCCTATAGAAAGAAGTCTCTTACTTAATGGCGATCCCAATGAATAGGTTTATAATGTACATTAAAACACAGCAGGGAGAATACACCATGAGGGGCGCACACAGAGTGGTTTATTCTCCAGGCTGTGTTTTTTTGTACAATGACCACGAGTCGTTCGTTTCTTATATGAGATATCACCATTTTGCCCCACCTCTTTTATAATGTTAATAATATGTAAAAGCTTTCATGAAATATTTACCTGTATTTAAATATTGATGACTCCCTTGGATACAATCTGATCTCAGCAATGTCGGACAAGTCTATTTTATGAACAGAGGGTTAAGTTTGATATTTCCTGGATATTCTCAAAATTTTCACGTCGATTATCTGTACCTCATCTCCCATTATCGATCGTCATATCTCTCCCACTTTTGAAAAAGATTGTTCAGCCATTGCGTTCATCTGCATTGCCCAGCTACATCTATGGGGAACAACTCACTAGACACTTCCCTCTCAAAAATAACGTTGACATCATCAAGTTGCAAGCGCATGTTCCAATCTCCAGAAATGACATCATGATTCTTCATTGTTCTTTGTAATCGCGTAGCTATATTATATTACGGAATTGTTCTAAGCTGATGTCAGAGAGTAGGAGGTACGGTGAGGCTATTTTATGTGTTAAATTAGTACTAAGGAATGGAATATTGACAACTTTGAAACATATTGGTTGTTGGTCACTTTGTTAATCTTTGTAATGGAGTGAATTAAAATTTATGGTCACATCAGTAATATTGCAGCCATATAGTGAGTCTGTCATGGAGTACTGTGGCTCATTCTGTGAGCATGTAAACATACTGAAAACTGATACAAGAAGATAAAGGTTGTCTGAATGTTGATGATGAGGTCATTTTCAGAAGTAAGATGAACAATTATCTGTATTGAACAAATGAAACTTAAGGGAACACAATATATTACAATTGCATGAGAAGGATCACAAAACATTTGACTGGGATAAACCTCTTATTTCATGACACAACAAGGAAATTACTTAATATATGCAAATGTAAAAATAAAATTTCAATCTCAGGCAGAATATACACAGATACAAATAAAAAAAACTTGGAGTAAGTTTATCCTTTCGCAATCACTCTCAGCTCCAACAAGCCTCTTCAGGCTATACATAAAAACAAATAATGTATTGCTGTGTTTGTCACGCTTGGAGCTATAAGCCAGAAAGGAAGGGTCAAAGCAAGTTATCTCAAGTTTATGACTATTTCATTATTAAGGCAACAAGCTGTTGGGATGTAGACTTACAAGTCACAATCATCCTTGGTGACCTCAAAGAAGGGCCCAGTTCTAGAAACACCTGCATTGTTGACAAGGAGATCCACATGCCCAACAGTCTCCAAGATCTTCCTCGACCCATCCCAGTCGCTCAGGTCAGCCTGGACTGTTTGTATACTTGGAATCTGCGGATGTTTTTACATGTGATGTTGTATGTGAAATGGCAAATATCATTACATGTGTGAGAACCTGCAAATATCACAACATTTGTCATGTTTCTAAGAACAGGAAAGTATCATTACTGCAAATATTAAATGTCATTAGATACATTTAGGATCTTCAAATATAAATTTGCTAAAATCAAATATTTTACGAGTGCTTCATTCAGATAATTCTGTAGAAATGCAGTTGCAAATGAATGTGAGAGGTACAGGACACGTACACCAGCTGCATTTGGACATAATGACCTTGACAAGGAAACCATGTTATAAATGTAAACCAACAACTGCATATTTTGTAGGAGAAATATATAATCATGTACTGTTTATTGCAAACTTGCAAAAACATGTAACTTGTAACAAACACTAGTAATGACAAAAGTGATTGTGCCATCAGCAGTACATAAGGACCCCTGCACACATTTGGCAGTTTATCTATTTATCCATGACAGCAACAATCTTAACACATTTAAATAGTTACACTTTCCTCACGCTGGATAATCATGAGTATCCAAGTGTTAGAAAAAATCGCAGACCATTCCACAGAAGGTTTTATGGCTAGTGATAATGGTAATTCTTAACAATTACTTGCAGTGGTTGGTAATAAGGACATAGGAAATTATTATAACTACAATTTAGTTTTTTTATCTATTTAAAACAGAGTTTGAATACTAAAAAATGTACTTTCTTTCTCGTAATATTGTTCTTGAGGTTAATGAAATCCCCAGTATGTTAGCCTGCTACAACGTGATGTGCATACCTCCTTCTTTAGACTGTCTAGATCCTCTTGAGTACGGGAAACAGCCACAGTATCAGCTCCGCATCTCACCAGGGCTTTGGCAATATCCCGTCCAATTCCTGTGAGAGATAAGGTACTGTAAATCCTGAAATTAATGCGTCTCCAAAAGAATTTGACCACTGGCCCCTAGCCAAAAATAATAATTTAGCCCTAGTCCCTATTCTTTAGCCCTCAATAAAATGTAACCAGTAATGGAAGGTTATGACAAAAAGCATATATATCATCTAGTTTTCTTATAAATTAAATTGATGGGTTGTACTTAATTTGTTTTGTTTTGCATTTTTCCTCTTCTTTTCCTCAATATTTCTTTTGATTCTCCAATGTCTAAATTTTCATATATCCATAATTGCTAAACTGTTAAAAATTAAATACATTTCAATAATGTGTTTCTAGGTCATGTCACTGAGATAAGACATTGACAGCGGCCGCTTTACAGATAATATAACCTCTCCACATAACCACTATCCTACTAACCTATATTTGATAATGCGTTCCACCCCGGCCCAGTGAAAATGTCAATTTTATTACAAAAGAAACACTGTCAATCAAAAACATATGAATATCCCGGAGTTGCAATGAAATATGTATCGAATGAAAAAAATTACCTTTGCCAGCCCCTGTTACAAGAGCTCGTTTACCGTTAAAAATTATCTCCATAGCTGATTTCAGATATTTTTTATCTTAACTCTTGTATGATTTGAGGAAGAAAAGTATCAGAATGATATTAGGGGGACGAAAATTGTATTTAATTTGTGGGAGGTAACGATTGTAAAACGATGGAAGTTTTTTTTAATCACCACATTAGTTTCAGCTTTAACAAACTATATTAAGTGCTTTTTTGTTAATTAAAAATATGTCTATTCACATGATTGTTTGGTACTGAAGTGGCAGTCAGTTCTAAGAAATGGACTAATCTTAACAGCTTTGAGGAAAGTATTATACAGCAGGTAGCGCCGCCTACCTGAAAACAAGTTCTCGGTCATGACGACGCAACCAACAAATGCTTGACTGTATAACTTAAGTTGATAGAACTTCATTTCGTAGTATTTTAAAAGGAAAACGTTTAACTTGGACATGTGTAAGTAGAAGATCAACATATATGACTTTGACTACTTCCACAGCACCAAAAATCAATATTTGGAATCACAGTTAGGAATGCTGAAACCGGTAGTAAAACTTGAGCTTTGCAATATTTTTTTGGGTCTCGGCTAATTGATTAACATGTAAGACATTTGCAGATCGGTTACTCTCGCTGTCCAGTTAGAGCCCAGTTAGATAGCTTAGAACATAAACTGACCGTTCAATACATAGGTCAATTGGCACATTGAACGAGTGTGCTGATCAGCTGTTGGTGACTGAAGTGTCCCTACAATACCATCCCGTCACCTGTTTCCGTGGGAACCGTAGCTATCTTCGTGGTATTTTGAGATCTCACACTATAAAAGCTTTACAGAGCCATTTGCGAGGATTTATCATGTTATCGAATGTAAAAGTTCCAGTTTCAGTGATCTCAAATCAGTTAGTGTATCAATGCAAATTTAAGTGATGACCGGGATAATCTAGACCTGCTGAGAATCCAATATTCGACCTAAAGTCTGCAACAAATGTCAGTTAACATTCCCAAATTGGACATAAATATGTCCAACTCATAATGTTCGACTGATATGATCACTAAGTATAGGTGACCTTTATTACTTGACAACTCATGGTATGTGCTGTTTGTCTTGTTTTACATTGTTTACATCTTTGCATTGAATACAATAGGCCAATTAAAAATATCTCTAGTTTCAGAAAAAAAGAATTTAAGAAGAAACCCATATTTTAAACAAGTATTTATGGGACACATAGTTTGATATCCTAGAAAAATCCATTGATGATTGAACAGGTGAATATTTTAGCATCATATTTCTTAACACAGAAACTGATTATAAGGGGATGTGCCCAGATTATGCCTTGAGTATGATAATAAACATGATAAATAATTGTTTTTTCAGTTCGTCCCTGTCCATGATAATGATACACAACAAAAGTTACATTAATATGATTAGGATAACTATTGACCGCAATCACTGACATCAGTAGTTGGTTATGTTTGTTGTGATCAGCATGATCTGTTGTAGTTTGATCATTATATGTTATTAACAATAATATCAATACCAACAGATTCAATAGACATCACTTATATGGCTGAGACACTGCCGATGTGATGTTAACATTAACTCACTCACTCAATATGCATGATGTTATACTTGTAGACATGAATTGTGAAGTTGATAATGAAGGATTACCTAAATGTATACCGTGAATGTTCCATGTATTAGAGTAGTACAAGTAGCACAAATTAAAACACAATGAGAAGACTAGTCATTAGCTGTACAGTTGTTTTACCAGGATCATAATTACATGTACCAGCACAGATTATATTAAATCCCAGTACAACTGGGTTATGATATTGTGCAATTCCACTCTATCCATGTAATGATAGATTCCTTAATTAGTGTTTGAAATTCAGCATGAATGTCAAGTTCAATAGGGAAAGACTTCAAGGACCGAACTACATGTATTATTTTTAACACCAATAATAATAACTGTGGTTACATAGTGTTTCTGTTTGTTATATTTTAGAGCTCTAATAATGCCAGTTCCTTTCACAATATTTCTGTTGTCTTTTTCAGATGTGAAAGATGGCTGTTCTGAATTACCTGTACCCTAGTCCACTGCGAGATGCGCTGATGTTTTTATTTGACTTGGCATGGCACCAACTTCACACTCTTGCATTTGTCACATTCACAAGTTCCTTGTTTATACCTGAAAACTAACAGATGTTTTAGAATCAGCACAGAACTCATGTCTGAAGTAGTGCCTTTCGGTGTTAGTAGCTATACTGATCTAGCTACAAATCTGTCGTCAGCGTTGATGTTTCTCTTTGAGTTTGCTTGGAGGATTCGTTTTCGCTTACCTAGTTTGATCACAGTCACCTTCCTTGCACTTGACATCAGGGTTAGAGTTGAAATTGAACTACAGAACATGCCATAATATGTAGGGTGTTGCCACAGTCTAGCATTCAAGATGAGTCGTGGTGTTAGAGACCTAAGAGACCTTATTTGTGTGTCCCGTTTGACGGTCCGTGAGAGCGATGAGGAGATTATTAGTGATGAAGAACTGAACAACTTTGATTCTTTATCAATCAGCAGCGATAGTGGATCTGATAACAAACATGGCCTGACTAATTCTCAAGGACTCATTCAGGGTGGCATTTCACCTGATTCAGGTTTCGTGACAAATGGTTCACCATCGGAAGTTGTGGCCACAGCTAATGTAGAAACTCAAATTTCAAAATCCCAGAAAAGGGCGGCTAAAAGGAGACGTAAAAAGAAGGAATTAGAGACTTTTCCCTCTCGCCATGACCTCCCCAAACCACCACCCCTTCCTCCAGTGCAAGGTGGTTCGGAAGACTTCTCACAGGAATCAGTGCAGCCTGACTCTGAATCAAGCCGAGTTGGAAATTCATCTGCCCAAATGAAATCAAGAGCATACAAGAAAAGTGGTAACTATGACGATATGTTGTGCTTCATGGATGCTACACTTGTGTCGGGTTGGCTTACTCAGGCCAATGATGCAGTCGGAGCCCTATGCAAGTTTTGTCACGCAGGCGACAATTATGTTCAGTTTGCTCACTTTTGGCTCAGCAGCTTTTCAGATGTGCAAAAGCATGAAATATTTGAAATGGAGTATGAAATTCTCATTGAAGAGATGTGTTTAGCATTTTCCGTTGGTAGGGAACAGAGGAAAGTTCTGAGATCCGACATTACAAATCTTGCCTCAGCTCTTTTGGTTGAATACCCCTCAAAGTTGATGAGTTCCAAGGGCAATCATTTATTCCTGGATTACCTTGATATTCTGTCATCTGAGAAGAAAGAGCAGTACAAGCACCTGTTGTCCAATGTTCGTTGTTCCACCAAGAACAGACAGTATGCCCAGTGGTTGCTGGCCACAAGGTCGTTTGCCCTTGTCAGTATGTGGAGTGCAATAACAAACTTTTACCAGAACTTGACAGGGATTGGGAACCATTCCGGGCTGCCCCTGCCGTCCAGTGTCTCATGTCTTGATGCAAGCTACCAGAGGATGTATCAGGCAATTAGGTATGTGATGCAGTTTACTCTGTCAGGGTATGTAATTGGATTGTGGAGCACCACTACCCATTCAATGTGTACTGGTGTGGAAGATTGGTGAATATTTTATTCTTTTTGTCATGTTTATTATAACAGCTTACAGAAAAAATTGTGCTATTGTCAGTGATATTAACATGATTTTGCTTTGGCTAAATATGATTAAAGAGGGGGACCAAATTTTAGGATGATCGAGTGGTGACAAGCTTATTACTCACTCACATATACCATGTATACTGTTTCAGTGTACCTGGATGGTTGCACATGGTATCGACCATTGGTTTGCCTGTATAAACTTGAATTTTAACTGGCTGCTTTTTAAAATATTCATTCGCTAAACCATACTTATGCACTTGGGAATGTCAGTATTATAACCATATGAACATTATTGATCTATTCTTGGTTGAACTGTAGACAATGTTGGTTAGATTTCTAGTGCAGTGTTAACTGAGTAAGTAATGTTCACTCTGTACCTGGTTGTTTTATCGTGCATATTGTGTATTGTTTGGCATGATTAGACATGTTAAATATTGTCGCATTCTTGTAGCATACTAGTAGCAATGTTCTGCTTGTTGCTTCTTCCAGATTAGGGTATGTGGATGTACTGCACTACCTGCTCGTAGGAGGCCATGTCAAGCCACATCACCTTGATTCCCACCAGAGAAGTCTCATCTTCACTGCTGTTATGCACAACCAGGAAAAAGTTCTGCACTACTTACTGACAAGGGTGGGTTAAAGTTGAAAGTGTATTTCTTGCAGATATGTAAACATAGTAAGTTATAAATAATGATATGTGTTGAGAGAATTATGTCGTGGCCTTGGTGTAATAGTTTTATTATTATCATGATTATGCCAGTTGTTTACATGTTGAAGTAATAATGATAATCAATGATAGATGAGATGGTAATGTGGCTGTTAACCTTCTAGCGCCTCACAGGCAGCTTGTGTTGTATACTCCCCAGGGAGCTGAGAATGAAAATCGAGTGCTCACTGATCCATTGACCGGGGTAATAATAGTGTAGCGCTATGAGCATCCAATCGGTGAATGGAATCTGGCGCATTATAAATGCACTTATTATTATTATTATTATAATGAGTTGGTTATATTTATAACCATGAGGATAGCTCTGAATCAAAGGAGAGTGGTCTAAGTTGCCATGGTTTGTCGTGCAGTGTTATGTCCCTTAGTTCTGACAAGATCAGCTGACCATAGGTGCCAATACAAGAATGACCCCCAGTTATGACCCGTGGTTGGTCATCAGCTGAGTTCATGGTTCAACCCAACTTGCCCAAGGATGAAAATGTCTTTGACCTGTGTCCCATTAGGCTTTCCTCACTCATAAGGAACCCCTGCGTGATTTAATTGTTGGAGCTTCTGCCCAGAAAGTGGAGGTCGGCAGTTCAATGCCAGTCACATCATTCCCAAAAAATTGTACTTGGTTTTACCCTGGTTGACCATTGGCATTAAGGGAATGAAACAAGGACTGGTTGGCTCAGAGTCAGTGTACTGTGTCTGAGTGGGGAAACTATGTAGAACTGCAGCATGGTATCTCAGTCGGCTAACTCTATAAAACTGGTGTTAATCTAGACAAGAACAAGCACATGTGCATGCACATCGCTATGTAAATGCAATAACCTTGAATGTGACATAACCCCCATATTCACCATGTTCACTTAACACATAACATGCATAAGATTACATGGCCTATGACAAGCGAAATACTTCTCAATGCCCATACCACTCACTAAACATAAGTAAAGTAAACATGCAGATGCATTGTGTATTTGAAAAACAGAAACATACCTTCACATGATTACGTTTCCTTTTCCTTCATTCCATGGCGTTACTATATAATCTGGAATGCAATTTTATACCCTATTTCACCTCACCTCACCTTTGTTCCATTGACCAAGTGTTTAATGCATGTTTTCATTTTCATAACAGTGTTCCTGTTTACCGGTAATTACCAGTTTTTGACTGGTATAATTAGGCTTGGGCCGGTAATTGTTGTGACTGTCAGTCCCTGTAGACTGGCAAATAAGGTATCTTGTAAATCTCTTGTTGAACAAAACATTGTCGATAGTAAAAAGAGTGTATGTTTGAGGTCAGCTTGTCTGTTATCATCAGGGTTTACTGTTGGCAAGGAAATAATATATCGCATTGCTTCGAGGTTAAATATTATTTTGTAATGACTTAGTCTTGAATCAAAGTGAAATATTCCGAAAAAAAAGAGAAAATAGTGATTTAACTTTGTGTGAATAACGTGTAGATCTAAATAAATTTCTTCAGAAGTGATGTCACTGAATTTGTCAGCCATTAAACTACACTGCATTGAAATTGATGTTGAAAGAATTAAAACCAGGTAATTTTCATACCATTTTTATTTGTTCAAAGTTGGGACTGACAAAAGTTGGGTGGGACTGGTAATTTTGATAGTTGCCAGGCAAGCAGGAACATCTGATCCTGTCATGAGATTGAGAGGTGCGCTTCACTGACTGTCTACAGTACACTATACCCATGCTGCATTTTACACAGAGGCATCCTCTATTTTATGAATGATGGTGTTAGCATAGTTATTGTTATCAGAGACCATAGTTATCACTGCTGTTGTCTATGAATAGGATGATATATGTTGCAGGTTCATCCAGCAATAAACCCGAACCAGCCGGCTGACACAGGCAACACCCCTCTCCATGCTGCTGCCAACAGCGGCAATCTCAGTCTGGTGGTGGAGCTCCTCAAGTGTCCCTACGTTCAAGTCAGTGCTACCAACCCACAGTGTGAACATGCTACTCCACTACACCTTGCTGTCATGCATGGTAAGCATGTTTTCACATCTCTGTCTCGCTTGGTTACAGAGCTTTAGTGCTGTGGCTCATTGATCCAGTGTACTTTATCAGGACTGATTTTCTAATTAACAGCTGAATCTGATCATTTTGTAATGCAGCAGTACAAGTTGTGGAATTTTGTTTTCTTTTCAGCTCAACTGGTCAGTTTTCTGTATAATTTAAGACAGTCTAACCTTACCAACTTGTCAGAATTCGTACTGGTATTTCCTCCCACATTAATGTGCTGCCATCAAGTGGTCAGATATACGGCATTTGTATAGGTTTTGTTGTGACTTCATAAAGAGGCCTGTTGTAATTCAATCAAATTTATTTCTCTAAGCATGCTAGGATTTGGTTTATTGACAGATTGACACAATGTCATTCATATAGTACAAGTTAAATTGATTTAGGTATGTTTTGTATGGATATTAAAGCATTTGACATGTTGAAACGTGATGATAATGTATCTATTGTCATGATTTGATCTTTCTTGCAAACTGGGGAAATTACCATGTTGCCTTCGCCTGGTATGTAAGTGTATCAAATCACAAAGTAAATGGGATGTTCTAATAGTTGTGAGGTATGCACCATATGAGTGTTTCATGTTGATGGTAATATCATGGTAACACTGATCTCCCCTCAGGTCATGAGAAGGTGGTAGAGGTGCTTGTGGGGGCCAAGGCTGACCTCGATGCCAAGATGGGGGACCTCACGCCATCAGACATTGCGCGAGACTTTGGGAAGCCAGACCTCCAGAAGCTGTTGACAAGCTAGTATTGACTATAGTGTAGTTGCAGGGAAACTACTATGCTAGTATACTACTCCCCTGAGAAATACTAGGGAAATGGCAGTAGTCTGAAATTATATGTATGATTTGTACTGCTGTGTATGGAAATATTTTTGGGATATTAATTATATATTTTTATGATATAGAGTTATGAATATAGACCAGATGACTCGATCAAACTCACTTATGTGACCATAAGTGAATTATTAACTGTATCTCACACTTTGAGATGTGAATAAAAATGCGCCATTGGTGTCATGAAATAGTATATATTTTAACCTTTTAGCCAAAAGTTAACCTGAAAAGTTGTATGTTAACTTTCATTCCAAACGGAAGAGTATTTGATAACTACATAACCTCTCCTTGGATTCATCGTTTTTAACATGAAATCAATAATGTTTGCATTCCATTGAAGATTTTATTTGATATTAAATAGGAAATCAGTGCTTAGGAAAATGATTTCCTAAACAAGGAAAACAATATTTGTGATGCAAAACCAAGTTAGACAACTGTATTCGCGTGCTAGTGAGTCATGCTATTGTACATTTACTGAAGTCTGAGAATGATAGGAATCTTCCTGTTGTCAGTCAGGACCTTCTTGTGTTGGATCATGCATCCACTCGGAGACTGTTATGTGCATATTTATCAGACATACATGTCTTTCACTGGAACTACAAAACATTTGTGTGATTCAGCTAATGTGATTTGCTTCCCTCTCCTGTTAAATTGTTTTATTTAACAATCTTAGATATGAAGATTGGTATCTGAATCAGTTTATTCCTCACATTTTAAATGAAAAAATGTTATTTTAGTTGATTGTAACAAATGCTTTTGTTCAGCTGCCTGCCATTAATTAGTATTAGTCAGCTGCCAAATCTATTTACTGGGATTATGTTATAGGATGTTTGTGTCTACTTCATTTGATGCTACTCAAAAGAAGGTAAGTAACGTCTGACGCTCTCATATTGCTATATGTGATCTGTATAATATGAATGAATCAGGTTTTCTTTAACTACTTTTGAGAAGTATATTTACTGTGGGGTAATAATTGAATTAATTGTTTCTTCTAGATGTGCATTAGGAAGAAAGGAAGATAACCCCCTAGCAATAGTACATTTGTCACCGCATACTATTTAACCCCATGTCATTATGAAGTATGACCTCCCGATTCTTTCATATTACTGTAGTTAATCTATCATGGTATGAAAGAATGGGAGGTCCTTGACTTCTTTTGACTAGTATGAAATAGGATTAACATGGAGAGGATGGTTTGATTAGCTTGTTTGTGAAGTCGGTAGATGTTTGTATGTGAAATGTGTCCATGTTTCAGTGGCTTTGAGAAATAACCCTGTAAGCATGGTAAGAACAGACGTTATTTGAGAAACAGGGAGACAACTCTGTACTGACTACAGATTGTAGCTGTAGATTGGTCCAAGGTGAAAAGCTAAATCCAAGGTTTCTAGCTATACAACTTAGGCATCCTTGCTATGAGAACTGAATCTCATGCTGTTGCTGTGTTAGTCCTAGAATTTGCCATGGTTGTAAAAAATTAAATATATCTATATATTTACCTTAGTCATTTGGATCACAGATAAATTTTGTGATATTTCAGTGCTGTGTGTTTATTAGGCAAAAATGGATTCAGTGTCCTGCTACAATATATAAACTGTTAGATGTAGTAATTATCTTTCAGACGCTGCTGTGGTAGAAGACAAATTATCATTGTAGATTTACTGGTAATAATGGTCTTTCCAGGTATTCTGAATTCTGCCTGCAGTGGTTGGTCCATTCATAAAGAATTGGCCGTGTGGTGTTACAGAAATGAAGGCAAATACTCTCCATGTTAATGTTTATTTTTTATAATTGCACTGTCCGTGTTACTGATATAAGTACATGAAATTAATCAATCTGAAAGACTGTATGGTTCCCAGTCAAGTATTCTCAGAAAGGTGACATGGTTAAGATTTTTAAATTTTCTTTGATTGTGTTGTTAACTGTATGATAATAAACTTGCTCAATTTTATTTTTAATGGTGACCTCTGACATTCTCTGTGTGTACAGTAATTTATTCTTCATGCGACTCATGTATATAACATGTACATTCTGAAAGGTTATTTATGTGAGACTTGTCTGAAATATTGTTGATGCAGTTTTGAATAAGGAATCTATTTTTTATGAACCCACATTCTTTTGAATGGAGTGCAAAGCTGGAGTTAAATCATTAAACGGAAAAAACAATATTTTTACATGTTCACCATATCATATGATGTACAGATAATGTTTACCTAGAAGAACATTCATCACTACATGGCTTCAATATTGCCCATGCTGTGTAAAGTTTTAATTCGCTCACTTCAAGATTATTATATGATATCCATTCTTCATGAGCATGGTCCAGTCACACAGTGTACCCCTGTGGGGAAGCTGGGTTAGAACTGGTCCCCAAGAACTTATGCTGGACCTAAGAGGCGACTCAATGGATAGGATGGTCCTGGTACCCCGATGGAAGAGATTGTTGCTTACAATATCAATCAATGGATTGTCTGATCCTGATTTGATTAGAGGCTGTTGTCATATAGCTGGAATATTGCCGAGTGCAACATTAAGAAACAGACAAGCTGCACCACAGACAGAGTGTATATTTGCATCTGTGTCACATAATGTAATATATTTGTACTGTGTCCGTGGGGATATTGGGGTTGGCTACGACCAGTCCTGGAAGCTGGAGAAGATTTAACATCACCTCACTGGAAACACTTCAGAGTGGTAGTGGTGTTTGTGAAGTGTGTTTCTGTTTGATTGCACAACCTTCCTTCATCATGAGGCAACAATACTTGTCCAAACTGTAAATGTCACATGTCACAAGTGTCACTAGTCAAACTCATCCTAACTGATGTTATATTAACTGAACATACTTTGCACTGGTGGAACCAGAGGTGGTGTTGGTGGTCATGTATATATATTCGCTTTAAAATCCATGCAAAACCTGCTGTTTATTTGTGTTCCTGCAGAATCCCTGCAATATTTCACTGTCGATCTGCCTGTCTTCTCTCTGAAGTCACCATCCTTGTGTTCACCAAGGAGCAGTATATAGTTATGTCATGTTATTCATTGCTGTGTACGTGATTCCCAACATTTCAGCATTATTTGTTTATGATTTCAATAGTTTCAACAGTGTTGCCAAAATTTGAAGGTGGATAACATAAGCACACATATCCACATAAAGATGTGATCATCTGGGAGAAATTATTATCTTGGCTCTTGTGCAGTGTCTGTTATTTTACTGAAACATCGATTTTAAGAAATAAATAATTTCACATCTATTTGAATTCTTCATTTGTTGGAGACGACAGGACACTGACAAGACTGGATCCCACAGTTCTTGATTCTGCTTTTTTACATCCTCCATTCTATTGCAGTGCCACTGTGGTCTAGTGGATAGAGCTTCTGCCTGGAGAGGTAAGGGGAAAGTTGGTGGTTCAATTCCTGGCACTATCAAAGTGGCATTAGTCTGGACTATACTACTGCTGAGGATCACCAAGGATTTGTTGAAATAACCAAAGACTATATTGTGTGAAGACATTATCAATGAACAAAAGTTTGTTGTCTTCTGCCACACAATGGCAACAAACAACATGTGACTAATACTCAGTCTGATCACCCATCAAAATGAGTATCTCACCAAAACTGAAAAGTAAAAATATCATGAAAACAAATTCATTGTAAAACAAAAACAACTCTCAGTAGCGTGTATGTTATCCACCTGATACGATCATAGCCTGGAACCGTTGTCGCATGCTCCCAATAAGTGGATGGTTGCCAAAGGAAGATTGGACCACTCTTCAGGGAGAGTATTGCCGAGTTACTGTAGAGTTGCCGGAAGGGCGGGGCGTCGAGAGTGGAGAGCTGCAGCATCTACATGTGTTCGATAGGGTTGAGGTCTCAGCTGGCCACTACATGCAGACAATCGTCTCCATCTCAAAGTGGGCATCAACGACCGTGGCACAATGAGGTGCGTTATCGTGCATACGGATGAAGTCCGTTCCGATTGCAGGGATATACGATCTAGCGTTCACATTCAGAATGTCATCTCTGTAGCGCCCACCTGTCATCGTGCCGCTGTCGGACAAGGAGATTGCTTTTGATCCCTCCCCAAATCACGAAGGAGTTTTTTACGCATACGTTGGTATCCTGAAATCTTTCTCCTGGGTATATGAACTATTTATTATTCATCAAATTCAAAATGTCACTCTTCTTAATAGCATTTTCTGTTTCTCTCTTATTCTCAAAAATACATATTTCGAAAACAAGTATATAGTTAAATATATCTATCAATATGCAGCACATGATCTTTGCTAGTGTGCAGGGACTAGGAAGGAACAAGGGGGTTCTACAACAGATCACAGGCGTTCAGCAAGAGAACACGTGTTGTCCGAAATAGAACATTCGTGTTCTGTGGCAGAACACGTGGACGCGTCCAGTGTCCAATATTAGAACCCATAATTTTAGAGTGTAGTGAAGAATGACAGTAGATGTTATGACGTCCCCGATCTTGAAGGCCGATTGGGGTAAGATGGTAAATTACAAAGTTGACAATTGTTTGTCATTAGTGCTAAATACCGTCACTAATAACCCCCCCCCCCCCCCCCCCCCCCCCCACCCCCACCCCGAGAATTCTTTTTGATAATTTGGACCCCTCCCTTTAAAAAAATGATGCCTTTGAATTGTGAAACATTCATGCACTCGACGGGGCACACTGCGTTTGGGTCTCCCATGCAATGGCGATTTTAGGGAGTCGGTCCCACTCTTTCTGCAACACCTTGCAAAGTTCAGCCAGCGGGGTCGCCGGCCTATGACGTTGTCTAACACGTCTCCCTATCATATGTCTCAGACGTGTTCAGTGGGGGAAGGTCTGGGCTCATTGCTGGCCATGGCTTTCTGTGCATGTTGTGCTGCTGGGGGTGAGCGTTGCCGATTCGTGCATGGTGACCACGGGAGTTGCCCTGAAAGGGAAAACGTCGACCCACACGACTTGCAAACGGGACAACAAAGGGTGTCAGTATATTGTCCCGACAGTACTGTCCAGTGACCCTTCCTTGTACAATATGGGGTGGGTTTCGGTCGGTCATAGTAATGCCATCCCCCACCTAATCCAATCCACCGCCAAGTCTGTCATGAGGTCTCAGGTTGACATTGACAGACACGACCACGCCTATCAAGAAAGTGTAAAGTGAATCGGGACTCATCTGAAAACATGGCACTTGGCCAGCGACGACGACCACAGTTTCGACGTTGTGTACACCATTGACGTCTGTTAGCAATGTGACGATATGTAAGGGGCGGCACAACACTAGGCCGTAGAGCATGGCGATGAGCTGCATGTAGACGATTTCTAATCGTCTCACCCGTAACTACATTTACAGCAATTTGATTCGTCTTTTGGGCTTAATTTCGTAGAGCCTCGTCGATCCTGTACTCTTATCCTTGACCTGGAACGCCTTGAACGGGGTCGATCGTCAAAGTTTTGGGTTTGTTGGGACCTGTTCCATAGTCGGCAAATCACAGTCTGTGAAACATTGAACGTATTTGCCAATGCATGCTGACTTCTGACAGTTTCTAGCATGCAAAGCCCGTAGACGCTCGCTACGCTTGCAAACGCCGCTTACTGTCCCATGCTGTCGTACGCTAATATTTGTATCGTTTAACGAGGGACCCGGCATGTGTCATCGGTCAACTATACACAGGCCACTGTGATATAGCAGTACTATTGCTGACTGGTGTAAAACAACATTCACTCACGTCTCACCCAGCAATTAATTCACATCAGATAACCGGACAACATATAGATTATGCACACCATAGTCCAGCATTATGACGGCGGCCTCTGTATAACAGCCCGGACCAGACAAACCAGTGATTTAAATTATGGGCAACGACACATGCCGTTGGGGTACGATGACACGCGATCAACCGAGTCACCGGGCCTGACCGTCCGATCCATTAGTCGCCTCTTACAAGCATAGGTTGCAGGGGAGCTGTTCTAATCGGGTCTTTAGAAAGACACTGCTATGTAGTCCAAGAGTTGTACATCTACATCCTTCTGTGTGTGTAAACCTCCCTCCACTCTCCCAATTCAATTGCAACCGCTGTCGTAAAACTAACGGTTTGTGTACATACTATCTACAGCCACATATCAACTCATTTAAACATAAAGATGTCCCAGCTAGCACACCTACGTCGGGCCGACGTTGGCTTTGCATCGGCAACCGCCGGCAATATCGGCATCGGCAAACTGCAGCGGTCCGCTGTCAGGCCAATGCTGGTGATTGGCACTGACATTGAACCTGATATATGATTTGATCTTGTTATGATAACATAAAAGAAAAAAAACACATTTGTCGATTACAATGTGACAAATAATAGATCAAGTATATTTACGAATAATACAATAATTCTATTCGAACTCAAAATATTAACTTTATATTTAATTTTAAAATTAAATAGATCAAGCACATTCACTGACCATTTTGGCTGCACATATACAACAGACAGAGAAGATACAGACGGGATTCGTCACATCTTACAATTCATTCAGCAAATTACATGATATTGGCAAATGTTTGGAATATCGCGAGCGGTTATGTTACGTTGGTCCAACGTTTTCACAACATGTTTCCAAGGGAAGCTACTCTTGTTATAGAGGGCGCTGTTACTCACGCGCGTCTTTTCAAGCAGACGACGAAAGGATGATGCGCGGAGGGCTGAGGGAAAATCTATTTTGCGGTAAGTGTTTACTTCATTACTGTATTTACGAGGTGTTTATTTCATTTTCAAACCTTACAATTGAAACGAGAAACAGTGTACATTCATAAGTGTCAACATGAGTAGAGAAATCTAGGCCTATGTGTTTTGGAGGTTCGAGAAACACACTCCTGTCAATTCTACGTCAGTGTCAAAATCCGTAGAATATGTCGTGACACTGCATCCTCACTAAATTCTCTATTTATATTTTTAAAACACCATATACATATTTCTAGCAAAACGCGGGGACAAGGGCAAATACAAAACATGACAAGATATGTTTTATTTCCATGTAGATTCAGCGATGTTCAACCAACGAGTCGCAATCTCGGGGTGAGAGAGTATTACAGCGGCAAGCAAATAAATAGCCAAACTTTTACTTACATTAGTATTTTTGAATGAACATTGCTTTATTTGTCATTGTCACAGGCGTATTTGTTAAGTGTGGGGATGGATGAGGTTAGGAAATTAATTACAAACTCGAATTTACAAGTCAATTTTGTGATTGCTGTCAGCGCAAAAAGCAGTGAACATGAAATTCATAACGAGGCTTTCGGAAACTTTCAGCATTGCGTGTGCATGTCATGCGATCCAGCTAATGTTTCCTACTGATCGATGAACGGAGCTTCACTGCCGAGTTTGGTTTTCGATCACCAAAAGGTTGAAATAAAAAAAATAAAAAAATGTTTTTTAATGTCATAGTTACTTGCGAATTTTGAACTTTTTCTGGATAATGGGCGAAATGAAAGGACAGCTCTTTTAGTAAACGGATCACTGCGCATTACAGGTGTGGGCAATTTTATCAAGATCTGCTGGATACCTTACATAGACATATGCCTATAATCGATCAGAAATCTTATACCGATGTATGGTATCTGTATCGATCGATTGAGGTTTTGAGATATGGCTATTTCAGAATGGATTTTTAGGGTGTGTGTGTGTGTGTGTTGTTGTTGTTTTTTTGTTTTGTTTTGTTTTGTTTTGTTTGGTTTTTTTTTTTTGGGGGGGGGGGGGGGGGGTATGGTAGTCTTATCTAGTTAAGTAATTTATGATGTACATTTTTGATGAAATACTGAATTAATTTTTTTTAAATGTACTATTTCAAAGGTATGATGCTAAATATATAATCCAAGACAATTTAGAATGTCATTTATTTAATCAAAATTCAAATTTATTGTAAAACTTTGATGAAGATACTTCAGTACAGATTTTTCAGGACATTATCCATTGTAGAAAAACACCCACAGCCTTGTTTCAAATTTGATTTATTCTGACTAAAAAAATTAAATTAAATTAAATTAAAAATTAAAATTACTTGTCCCCAATACTTTCCTGCTATTTTTTGCATACAAGTGTTTGTAATATGTATATACCTTTGTATCTGATCTGTTAATGATAAACGTTTATTTGCAGTTTTGGTTTACCATGATGTAATCTACATATATTTTGGCATCATATAATAAATGCTGTATGGGCAAGTGCGGGTGTACCTAGGGAATATATGAAATTGTCACATAAAGGGCCCATGGCAGAAAATTCCTTGAGTGAACCCTGTATTTATTAACAGGTGTCAAGACTTCAAATAAAATATACACACATATGTAAGGTGGTGCATGTGAATAGGGTATTACTTATTCTATTATTACATTATGTTAACACACTTGTGAAGTCCATTTCTTGTAATAGTGAGAGTGCATGCAATGACTTATAATATGCACACTGACATTTTTTGCTATCATTTGTAAACAGAAGCTGAGGAGGAAGCCTGCAGCTGGGCTCTTACAAGCCACTGACAAGTACATGGTGACCTGTGTAAAAGAATGGCTTCGAGTTCCAGGAGCAAGGCTTAGAAATGGCATAAGGAAAACGCGTACTGAAAAACAGAGATGTAGATAGAGAATCTGCAAACAAAAGTGCTGAATTGCAGCGGAACAAAGAAATCCAAAATGTTGGTGTTGACAACATATTTTTCACAGGGTTATGACCCTTGTTTTTGAACTTGGTACATATTCTGCCAGGTTCTCTTGGACACTACTGAAGTTAATAAATGAAACTTTCCGTGCTTACCTAAGGTACAAACTCCAGAAGATGGTTATAAGAACTTATTTTGTATGGAGTTATGGCCTTTGCTTCATGCTATTTTAACTTGATGAAATATAGGGGGGGGGGGGGGGGGGCTTTGTCTGGCAAACGAATTTGAAGCCACATAAATGAAATTTTGCAGGCCAATATGAGGGGTATATGTTTAGACTGTGTTTTAAAACAGGTTTTGAGAATATATGTTTCACATCCGCCTTGTTGCAGGTAGTAACACTGTTTTCTTGTAAATAATAATTAATTAATAATAAAGTTTATTATTCTATTTTGCTGTTTGTGTTTTTTATAAGTATTAACTACACATGTATTAGGGTACATAAAAAATAGTACTGTAACTAGTGTAAGCATTTCGATTGTATTGTACAGCTAGAAGTATTTATATTACTTACATTTGGTTTTCAAAGTATTAACTATGATAAAAAATTATTATCTTTTTAAAAATTCAGTATTTTTTAGTTTTACCTTTCATCTTTGTTACTTTAACATCATGGCTAGCTGCAGCTTTTAGAAATGTTTAGTTTTATGTACCCTAACACTACACTTGGAAAAGTTCTATTGTGGCATCATTTACATGAAATATTAAGATGAGATGTTGTCAGTTATGACTTCTGATGACATCAGCCTATTTAAGACAATGGCAGATGCTGCGCTGATAATTATTGTCGACGTTGGGCCGATGTCCATCCGATGCTGATTCCATAACAGTTGCCGGAGGCTGGCCAGATAACTATTTACGACGTTGGGCCGATGTCGATCCGATGAGCAAAACTTCATCGGCCCGACATTGTTTGCCGACGCTGGGCCAATGCTGGGCCGGTGCATTGCCGATGCAGGGCCGGTGATGTTTGCCGGCGTTGGGCCGATGTCGATCCGATGAGCAAAACTTCATCGGCCCGACGATGTTTGCCGACGCTGGGCCGATGCTGGGCCAGTGCAGTGCCGATGCAGGGCCGATGACGTTTGCCGGCGTTGGGCCGACGTCGATCCGATGAGCAAAACTTCATCGGCCCGATGCAGTTTGCCAACGTTGGGCCGATGGTGTAGCCGACGTTGGGCCGATGCAGGGCCGATGATGGCATGCTACCTGGGTGTCCCACTACCCATCAGATATGTAATAAAACTGCGTTGTACATTTCATCCTACCGTTTTCACCCACGCTCTTGACAGTGATAAATGGACCATATTTAACTCTAAGCCTTAAACCCCATTCTGCAGATATGCATCAGTGCAGCAGTGGTCAGATACGATCTCTTTGGTGCAGCATCCCTGATAGCACTGGGTGATGCAACACTCCCGCGCCATGTTACAGAAAACGCAAACAAAGCAATTACACTAGTTTCGGCCATAATAACATCTGACAACTTCCCATCCCGAGGGCTAGACACGGACCGACACAACCGCCCATGCGATGATGGTTATGAGTGATTTCAGCGTAAAACATCGATAAGGGGCAGGTAACTCTTCATCCTTGTCTTTGAACTGCCCGGATGATTGCTCGATGCCCCTTTCAAGTTAAACCATGGATCCCAAGATACGCGTTTATTGTGCGTTAGTGGCCCGGAGCAAATCTCTGTGACCATAATGTTGTATTACTCCATGCGATTGTTACGAGTGCGTTTTAGAAGTTTTCCTCCTTCTTTAATTTTTTTTCATTACAGTATGTGTATTTTGGTAAAGATGAATCATAGAACACGCATGGCGCCAGACCAACCAATAATAATACAGATATTTTCGTCCAGAAAGTATTTGTGTATGATTTTATGGAAGTGTGTTGTACGATAATTTGGTTGTCAAATATCGTCAAGATTACATCGCATCTTAAAGAATAATTCACATACAAAAACGAGAACCATAAAGAAGATATGTACAGATTGGAAATTCTGCGCAATATTTTTCATTTACTTTTATGAAAGGTAATCGTAATTTCATACGCTTAACTGATACAATCATTGAATCAAAGAATACTTTATTCAGGGCAATGCGTATTAAATTCGCTTATCCTGACGTCAGTAGAAAAACAAAGAATTGATTGGCTGAGACTATTCACGTGATACGTCTCGGGCTACGATGAATCACGCGAGATTTCTGTCGGACGTGCTAGTAAGCAGTCTAAATAGGCCTCGTGCTTGGCGTCAGACAGAATCAATATAACCCATCTCAGCTTTTTATCAATGTCTATTCTGATTGATAAAATCCAAGAAATGTTTATTTTGCTCAATAAAATGTATTTTCTGATCCAGATAAACCTCGGCAATTAACCCTGTGTCAGTGTATTTGCATTCTGACCTCCACGCTGATTTTACTGCCGTCAGATCGTAATATCTGGAGCAACAGGGTTTTCACGACGGAATTTCACCCTCGAAAGAAGGACTGCGATTGCATTAAATAACAGAAATGTATACCAGTTACTAAGAACTGACTTTTTAAAAGCAAAAGAATGTTCACTTTGATGCCTGAAAATTGGATATGACATTTATCTAAAACCACGCATTGCAATGTCCTACAAGTGACTTACTGATCTTCAGTAAATACTTGAACTAAATTGATGGAAAATATGTGGACGATCCTTGTGTTTAAAAAGTGAAATTAACAAATCTTGATCTGATTTATTGCTAATCGGAGTTTTAGAACAGCTCTGCACAGGACGATATTGATACTCTCGGAGTCTTTGCGAAAGTTTATTTGGCGCCCGACGTGTATTCACGGAACGTAGGGTTCAAATGACTATGTCATCAGCTTGGTGTGATCAAATTCCAGTAGAAATAGCCCTACTGCCTTCACCTCCGTGAATATATTTTGTTCGCAGACGTCAGCAGATATTAATGGATTTCTATCCCTCATTTATGGATAATTCCTCATGCCAAACAACTTGTCATAACTGTCAATATTATGTAGTTCAATGGTCATATATCCAAGGCTGAACCTATGAATGGAGGATGCTGAAAACATTGATACATGATTACACTGGAACTATTCGGTAGTAACCGGTCAACCTTCGTGGGAGGTAACTGCGTCGACAGTGAAAGGATGGGAAACACTTTTAGCGGATATTTTCTCTGTGATAACTTTGTGATTTGAATGTTGCATATATTGAAGGTTACGTGACTTTTGTTGAAACAGAATCTGACTTAAGGTTATATCATTCAAGGCCCCAGTAAAGCTTTCAAAAAGTTTCCAAATTTGAGTGACAAAAATGATATCCGATGCAATTCCCTATTTTGACTTGTACCCTGTGCTCCCGTGTTTTTTTAGGTGAACAATTGACTTGCCTTTGCATGTGTTTGAGACTGGTGCCACTGTGAGGCAGGATGCGCTCACCTTTTCGCGAATACCTGGTATCATCACTATTTGATAGTGATTCATAAACACATGCTCATGATATAGTCGGAATCGTACAATCGACTCTGCTTTATGCAGAGATTTCTTTGGATATGGAA